AAAAAGATTGAATAATACCCAATTCTGTTTCCAATGGAAATCCATAAGATCAAAGTTACTTTTCTACAATGAGTACACGTTGTTAGAAAAATGATTGTATCTTTTAAGATAATTAGGAAGAAAATATAATATTTTATTTATGTAATCATGATTATCTTAACTTGGAAAATGATTTAATCATATCAAATCTTTGCCTTTCCATTTGAAACCCAGTACCATAGCAAAAAATCAGTTTCCTCTATTTGTGTACACGTGTTGAACACATGTATATAATTTAGTTTTCTCCTACATTTGTACGTGTTGGATATAATTATATATAATGTAATTTATCTCTGTTTTAATCCCATCACTTGTGTTCTCCTTAGTTTGACAATGATTACCTTTGATTTATAATTATCCTTTATATAATTTGGATAGATTTCAACCTTATAGAGGATAAAAACTAATACAATTCTAACCCTTATCGACTACTTTATGTTGCCTATAAATACTAATGCCATACACATATTTTACCAATAACGCCATTCCTTTAACTTTGGCTCTATTCTTTAAATTCAGTAGCTTCCTTGCTTTTACTGTCCATCTATTCCACGACATACACGGTTTCTCAATTTCAAAGGCACCAAAACTCCTTTTTCCGTTTTTTTTACTATAAATATTTTGCAAAGGTCAAATTGTTGGAACATATTTTAGAAGCAGAAAGGCATTCTCCATCTTTAATTACGTTCAAGGAAGCCGCAGAAGTCTGGAAATTGAAATATTCTCTTGGATTACTCTTTCAAAAATTCATTGATCTAAGGAGGTAGGATACTATGTGCAAGTTGTTTCGTCCTTTCAATATTATAATTTTTGACGTGATTTATTTCATGAAATGCTAATTGACATGCGGGTCCCTATGAAATGAAATGTGAGATCTCCTTCGGGTCTTCTCAAATATGTTAGAGTATTCGATTGATCACCGATTACTCTTGATGAAATGATGGTATGGAATGTTGTAAATTCATGTTTTAAAAGTTATTATATTATTTGGACGTACGTATCATACTAAGTATAAATTACTTATTCGTTCAATTTTAACATTTCAGGCTGGATCGGTTGACGTGGATGGTGGCTGAGCGGTGCACGGGTTGCCAAGTAAAGAAATTTTCAAGAAAACATTTAAAAATAATTCTTCTAGGACATTTTGTATTTCCATTGATTTCTATTTAACGTTTCATATTACCTGACGATACATTTATTTGATTTCGCCTTTGAGTATTAAAAAATTTAGGAGTTTTAAAGTTCCAATTTATATTTCTACTTGATGTATGTTTATGAAATGATATCGATAACACCTCAAGTTTAAATCGATGAAATTTGGGACGTTACAATAGGACCATGCCATATATGATGGAGAAGTTGGATTTAATGAGGAAGAAATTGGAATGGACAAGAAGACGAAAGGAAGAAAAAGGAACTCACAATCAATACAGCTGAAAGCACTGCTAATTCTGAGATTCCATTAAAATCCAAAGTGGCAGGAGAAAGTGAAGCTGTAACAATTCACCGCAAGAAATTTGAGAAAATAGAAAATCGAGGTCGACCAATGAAAACGCCGATGCTTATTAGAGATAATCTGTCGTGTGGTCTTGTGGAGAAGGGGGTGGACTGGAACGAGAAAGGCATGAGAAGGGGATAATAGAAAAGTCACCGGAACTCACCATCACTTCTAAAATTTCCCCAAAATTGGAGGAAGTTAAAGTAAATAGCCGCATCAAGCACCGCCAGGAGGAGACAAACAAGAAGGAAAAGGGGGTCGCAGTCACTTCGCTTTAGGGAGCTTAGTTTTACCAATCTTCAAGGGAAAGGAAAGAAAGGTTGTGCAATCAGCTATCCACTTATTTCGATGAAGAGAGCTAAAAAAATCGACAACTTGTTGGTAGAGGCAATGGGTTATGGCGTTACCTTGGATACTATATTGGCGATAATTGCTAGATTCAGTAAGTTTGGTCGCTCCAAAGGGTTGAAAAGTCCCTTTCCAGTTATGACCATGACTAGAGTGCTTGCAAGGAAAATGGCTTGGTTGCTTGATGAATTGACCAAAACAAAAATAGCTTCCATCTTGAAGTCAAGGTAGATTTCAAGGCGGCGGGTAATGATAGAGTCTAATAAAGACATATTCTAGAATGTTCAGTAGTTAGATAGTAGGAGGGATAAAAATGCAACAGGCTATAGTAAGGATTGCCTATAAATAGAAGAGAAAAAGAATGGGAAAGGCATGCAATTGGTTTAGTCTATTAGTAGAGATCCAGTCTCTCGAATGCTTGGAATTGTTCTTTCAATTTCTATTTCCAGTTTCTATCCATTTTAATAAATCTATTTACAATTTAGTAAATCATTGCCTAACATTTCTCCTAGATCAGTAACAGCGACAGGGAAATTCCATTAGTTATAATACATCTGCAGGGGATCCTATCAGATTACTATTTTGTTACTTTTGTACCGGTAAGCTAGCTCTTCGTTTTGTGTTCATGGTACTGTAGTTAAATTAATTTTCATTCATTCTTTTACTTTATGACGGATATGTTACTTAGTTGTCTGTGATCATAAACTAGGATGATCTTTCTTATCCATTTTTGCTTGTAAAGAATATAAATTAATCTTGTTCACCAAGAGTTGATTATTGTACCACGACAATCAGAAAGGTGAATGTTATAGAAGTGTCTTTGTAGGGCTATGCAAAGAGCCTCGAACAAGTAAACTAGCTGGCCAATAAGTATGGTTCACGTTTGATCTTCAGTTTTTTTCCACAGTTAATACTTGGTACCTTCTAGCCCCAAAGAGAGAAGCCAAAATAGAATTAAAAACTCTGAAGCATGTGGCTCTTTGTTGAGTGAAAAATGCTCCGATCAATTACAAGCATGTTTGGAAAGTGTTTATAAATAGTTTAAATCATAAATATATAAAAATGAATGATGAATAAGTGGCTAGTACTAGCAGATCCTTTGAAATGTGTGGATGAAAAATGACTGGAGTGTTTATAAATAATTTGTAAATATGAACCAAGCATAGGCTTAAATACTATTTTCTTTCTTTGAACTTTTGCATGTTGGAAATGGAATTGCTATTGTCACTAAAGGTTAGTTGTCACAAGCTCTTACAGTTTCTGTCAAAAAGCTCCGATTTCAAGATTTTTATTTGAGTTGGCAAAGTGTTTGATATTTTAAAAATGAGTAATTGGCACAAAACGTCTCCATCTTTCAAGTCTATTGTGGAAAACGTCCATATCTTTTAATTTTTGGCATTTTTGCCCTCATTTCAACCTTTCTCTGCGCTGGACGTTCTTAAGTCCACAGTCCGTCAGTTTTTCCGTTAATTAAATACAAAAATACATTTTTCTTTCAATAAACAAGGTGAAATTTTCTTCACCCATTTCATCCCTTCTTCCCGCCATCAACTTAGTCCATAAGTAACAATAGCATCAACATGAATATGAAAATACTTTAAATAATTACGTTAAATAAAGAAAAAATGTCGTGAACAACATTATATTTCACAATTCCACAGCTACTGCTGTTGTCATGTTGGGTTACTGGAAAAATTTAGAAATACATATATTAAATGGATGGTCAATTTATAAAGATTAATGCTAGATGTTCACTTCCAGAAAATGCTTATTAAGGGTGAACCTACTGGGTAAATTGAGAAGAACAAGTGAAAATGGGTACTGTGAAGTACGTATTACATTTTAATGGTGAATGGCTCAATGGAGAAGATGAACTGGTCCTATTCACTTCTTCTAAGAATTGAATTAACCTTGTGATAATAGTTCCTACGTTGTTATAATTTTTCTGAAAACATCCCTACCTTTAAAATGTATTAGCGAGAAACATCCCTACCTTTTTTAAAAATTTGAGAATAACGTCCCAACCTTTCAAAATTTTGACTAGAAAAGTCCATGTTTTCTTCTATTTTCCTCTTCTTTATACACACAACAATTTGTGACTGATTTTGGGAAAACTTATATCTTTCGGGAAAGTGACAGTGATCCCAGTTGGGCCCATGACCCATTTAATGGTGCTTGATGCTAGCATTTGAGCATTGGCCGCCTGTATTTTTTGCTCCAAAAAAGAAAAAAGAATTATTAGTAGTTAGCTTCATAACAATACTCGAATAGAGGGCCCGATAAAAAACATAGTACCAGTGCCAACTCATCTTGGCACTTCTTCACTTTATCTTCTCGCTTCTTCCTACTGGAATCTTGACCGAGTATTTTTCTAATTGCGTCTGCCTACAAAAGCTGATGTTCCATGCTTTTAAAATTCTGAAAGTCGTACGACATGACAATAAATTGAAGTAGAGAGAAAAAAGAAAACCTCTGATTCCCGTGCTGCTTTCTCATTTTCCATTTTACGCCCTTGAGCAATCTCAGCTTTCTTCAGCTGTTGTTCCATTTCACCCTTGTTTATTGAAATGGTTGAATAAAGGGGTGAAATGGGTGAGGGTAATTTTACCCATGTTTATTGAAAGAAAAAAGGTATTTTTGTATTTAATTAACGACGGAATGTGGACGGAAGGACGTCCAGTGTAAAGAAAGGTTGATATGAGGGCTAAAATACCAAAAAATGAAAGGTAGGGACGTTTTCCACAATAGACTTGAAAAATAAGGACGTTTGTACCAATTACCCTTTTAAAAATTGCTTCATTTTTTTTTTTTTAGTATCATAAAGTTTTCACCACTTTGCCTATTTGGTGTATATGTGTATCAAAATTAAGGCAAAGTATCTGTACCTATAAAATAAAAAGTTACATTTTCTTTTTAGTCAAAGTCAAATATTAATTTCAGCTACACATTCACAACTACTACCTATTTATTAATCACTCGTTTCCTGGGACTCAATACCATTCTTCTAAAATGTAAAAGGTAAATAATATTTTTACTCAAACACTCCTAAATACACAATTATGGCCTTGGTAACTCATAGGCCTATGGAGGATAAAATTCAATGACAAATGCAAGTCCGCTGGAGAAGCAAGAAAGACAAACAAATTAGGATTTTCACAGGGGTAATCCTTTTTGCATGTAAGAGAAATCTATATATATATATATAAAGTACATATGGTTGGGTTTATGGAACCATGAGGTTGGTCTAAATCTTAATTTTTGTTGGCTCTGGGTCAATGTTCTAAACTTGGTTTTTGTGGTGCATTTCAATGTGAGTTATCTTGGCTGGAACTGATAGTTACGATGCATTTTTATATAGGAACTTAGGCACTGGAGCAGGATTCCTTTTGTTGAATTAAAGATCACATGGAAAGATGAAATTATGCCCTTGTTTGACACCCATTAATTTATTTTACTTTTTACTACATATTTTCAACCACACATTCACACAATGAATAGCATGTGTGTGTGTGTACACATACACATATCACTTCAACGTAAATATGTCGGGTGAGTTTAAGGATTTTGACCACATTTGTATCGGGATACTTATGGATCCCCCTTTTTATCAAGATAACTTGTGGATAATTTTTTTCTAAATTTTTTTGCACATTTCAAAAACCATTCTTGAGAACCCTAAGGGTAGGTCACTAGTTAGGCATTGGGTTTGCTCCCAATGGTCACCAATTTTAGTTCTCTCAAATCCACTAAGGTGAATACCCAGCTGCAAACTTCAAGATCTCGTGGGATTAGTCGAGGTGAGCGTAAATTGGCCCGGACACTCACGGTCATTAAAAAAAAAAGTTCCTGTGGTTTTCCTATGGTGTGTATTTTTATTTTTTTTGTGATGCTATCAAAAGATCTAGATTGCAGCGATTTTTAAAAAGTAAATGGGGGAACGTGCTCTAGTTTGATTGAAAATTGACAAGATTCTTGTGTAATGAAAATTTTCACTTGTTTCATATTTTGGAGAGTGGTCGAATACTATGGATTTGCAACTTTGGTATATTATGCCATATGTTATGCTTTGCGAATTACGTATTCCATTATGATGTCACTCTAGTGTGGTTCTAAAATTTTGATGGGGTACGTATCATAACCTTGGTTGTTCAATAACAAGTTGTCCTTACACATTATTATGAACATTATTAGATTAGATGGGGTAACAACTTTAATCATGCTTTACAAAGTGAGATTTAGTGCTAAATGCAAGTTCTCATGTCCCGTTCCTTAAGATTAAGAACTTGTGGTTCTCCCTCTTTCCTTTTTTAGTCTTTTTTTTTGTTTGCTTTTTAAGCATGGCCGTGCAAACCTGCCGCTTTTGCTTCCCATGGCTTGAGGTGAGATGAGTTCATGTTTATTTAAAAAAAAAATGGTTGAACCCCAACCTTGAGGGCCCATCCGCCCTGCCCCTAGAATTTTGTGAGGGAGGTAAATCGCGAAATGTGCCCCAACGAGCCAAGGAACAAAAGTTACATGTACACTACGCCTACAAAGAGTCAAATTCCATGTCTTAGAAATCAAACCCCCACATTGCAGCTGCCAGCAAGGCATGAAATAACCTCACTCCTGTTCTTTGTACCACTGGGCTATGCCCGAGGGGCGAGTTCATGTTTATCTAATCATGTGAATTATGGCTAAAGCTTGAGGTACAGTTAGTAAGTGTATTAAATTATATTAGCTAAGGGCTTTCGATGTGCAAGGTTATTAGGGTGTGTGCATTCATTTATATGGTCTGTTAACCTACCCCAAAAATTGATGATGTGCCATGCAAATTTCTTTTCATCTACCTTTTGAGCTACAGGCTCTGCTTCTGCTTTTCCATCCCAAGTCCCACATTTCTATATTCTTTAGTCGTCATCCTGTTGAATGCTACTTCTGCAAGTAAACATGTCTTTGCCTTTGTTACTAATGAGAGCCTCTCTGTTACCTTAAAGCTTCAATCAATGCTGCCAGGATCTAGCCTAGACCATAATAACGCCGTTAGTTACCATTTTGATAATTGATACAGAAATATAAACCTAATTAATCAATTGAGTAATCACCTGGCTTAACTTCCTACCCAGTTAGTAACCATAATCTAGGGCAAATTTGTAATAAAAAAATTTCAACTTTCAAGGCCTTATAAGGTACTCTGTACTCATCATTAACTACTTCATACAGTATCATCATTTACATCGTTATTAATATCCCAATTAATAATTTGTTCTAGATCTTGACAATGAGGTCAATGGAAAACAATATAATTAATTTGTGTAAAGGTTTAGCTTCTTCTTTTTTTTTATAACTCCGTTCTTTTTGTACTTGTATCCATGTCTTCTAGTCAAAATGTGTGCAAGGACTTGCAGGTGGGCCTTGTAGTATGGACTTCTTTTTCTTTCCAGGTCATAGAAGGGGGCCAGTGTGGAAGATGACTATTCCTCAGGCAAGGAGCGCTTCCTCTAGAGAATATGGAAGATGTCCGAATTTCCTACATTGTAATCAAGGATATAATATAGTAGAGATCTGGTGATAATGAATTATGAGATTTAGGGTTCTGATGATGGGAATCTTGTGGTAGCGCTGGAACCATACCTTTGACATGGGGATGGATTACTTTTCAATCTTTTCTGGCTTTAGTAAAGTTATGATTATTTATGTACCATCACTTTCGTCCCTTAGTTTTATGACTTTAATGCAATCCTCATCATACAAAAGTGGACACTTCGTTATCTTCTTTTTAGGGGGGCAAATTAACTAGATCATGTGTGTGTGTGTATTTAGCTGTAAGTTTATATGAATGGATTACTTTTGTGGCAATCTTTGTTGAGGATTGGTATGTAGGGGTTGGTTATTGCTCTCAGGACTTCGAGCTCGGTGAAGTTAGCATTATCAGTTATTATACAAGACTTGTCAACTGTTTTGTTTTAGCTTCAAAATTATTTGAACGTGTTCAACAGCGTTGGTATAAAATATTCATTCCTCAGAGCCTTTTCCTGCCACAAATTTCATACCTTTGTGTATTTTTATGTATGAAAATGAAAATTGACAATCTGTCTTTTTAGCGCAAGAGATGAGAATGGAGTTGCTTTGTGCATCAAAGAATTGAATGCTCCCAGCTTCCATCCATGAATGATTTCTAACTGGGTTGCTGATTCTTTTGAGAGGAAGGACGCGGAGAGAGATCTATTGACAAAGCTCTTGATTGGTTTTATGAAAACTCGAGATGGCAAGATCAACTCATCAAAGGGTATGCCTTCTCTGATTGTCATGAGATGGAAACTTAATTTGCACTTATAATTAATTCTCTGGTTTCACTTTTGTTCTGTTCTAACTTCACTTGGGCAGGTTTGAAGATGTTCTCACTACATTGGAGGATGCGGTAAACGATGTCCCTAGAGCAGCCGAGTTTCTTGGCCGCATCTTTGCCAAAGTCATAATGGAGAACGTCATTTCATTATCTGAAGTTGGGTGGTTGATCTCTGAAGGAGGGGAAGAGCAAGGACATCTGGTTGAAATAGGCCTTACAGCCGAAGTCCTTGGGACTATCTCGGAGACAATTAAATCAGAAAAGGGTGATTCTGTATTGACTCAGATCTGTTCAAGCTCAAATCTGCGGCTAGAAAACTTCATACCTCCTCCAGGTTCTAACAAATCTTGGAGACTAGATAAGTTTACTTAGCATATTGATGCTAATTGTATATGGTAGAAGAAATTCTTGACTAGTTTTTAGGTCACCGTTTATATTTTACAGATACATGTTTCGTTCTGGGTAGATGGGAATTCATATAGGGGGGTTATTTTGATGTTTCCATAATATTATTACCATTCAGAAAATTAATTGCAACTGCTAAAGGTTCAATTGAGCATCATCTCATCTCTTTACTTTTCGCAAGTTGTTGACATCATTTATGTATCGGTGGGGGAGGCAGACTCTGCAGTTCAATAATTAAGTGTAATTTATGTAGTTGGGATCTGAGGCCAAAGGGTTGGATGTGAAAGAACTCTCTAATTGCTCGCTATGGTCCTCAAGGCCTCAGAAATACCACTCTGTTTAGCTATAGAAAATGTTCGCAAAGTATGAACTTCTTGCAGAATTTTTGTACGAATTTTTAGAAATCGCGAACTCTATGATGTTAAATTTCTACTTCTTCCCCGAGCCAGTTTACATACATACTGTAACACTTGGAATGCTTCTACATCCCTGCGTTCTATCTTTGTGTGCGCGCGGACAAGTTTTGGCTGGCTTGTTCTCTCCATATTTTCTGAATTCTTCTCCCGGGTGAGACAGATCACGGATACTGGCAGGTAAAGATTGATCTAGGAAATATTGTGCCCGAAATATGCTTTCCTCAATTATTGGTTTTGTTGGTTAATGAATTTTAATCATCACAATAGGAAATTAATTTTCCTTTGAAGATTAAAATCATGTAAATAAGGATTTAATTGACCTTGAGATCATTGGATTATAAAATCCTCACATATATAGAAAGAGGAGATGATAACCTTTTTGAAGGAGCTATTAATGGCCTAGCCAATGCTTCCTCCCTTAGATCTTCTACCTTATTCTCCACTAGGTGTAATTCCTTTTTGGGGAATGTGAAAAGTGGCTAACCCTAATTCTCATTTAAAATATTCCAATAAAGTGCATATTTATAATGACCTATTAGGGTTTGGAAATTGCACAAATTTCCTTAGACTTTATTATAGTAGGCTAATTAAGTCACACACCTTTTATTGGAGCAAAGAGAGGGACCTAATTGGACTCACAAGACCCAAGCTCCAATAGATATTTTCAATTGGATCAACTCTTGACCAATTGAGATACATCTATTAATCCCGGCTTATTCTACCAAAAAATCGAGATTGCACTCTCGAGTCGAGTGATAGTTATAGAAGCAAATTCTGATCAAATAACAATATCCTCTTATTATTGTTCCACAAGTCAACCTTCATTTGACCGTCAATATGTTGAAACCGGAAAAATGACCGTTTTGCCCTTCAACATGTATTACCCTTTAAGTCTCATTTTCATACGGCAAATTTGTTGTGATCAAATCACAATGTAAAGTCCAACGATCTCATCATCGACCTACTGAGCTCAGATTCAATTTGCTTAGGAAAATACCTTAGAGTGACGATCGTCTCATCTCAATGATTAATGGATTCCAATATTGTAAGTATATGATCTCTAATTGTTTCCACCCGATTCCCAAAGCACCGAGATCAAGCTTCCATTTAAGACTTCACTTATTAGTAACTCAAAGAACTTGAACTAGCAATCAAAGGTACATTACTCACTCATGATTTAGGTGACCTGTTTGATAATCAAGTAGAGTCTCATTTCAAACAGTCACAAATGAGTCATCTACGCGGTCCCATTCAATGTGTATCGAAACATATTATTGTTCCTATTTCAAGATCTAGACAAATCTTAATAAGAACAATACAATCTTATCAACATAAAGCGTCCAACTTTATGAACCGATTATGAACGACATAATTTTGATCACATCACAAATTATGTCTTACTATACCCGATCCATCGAGTAAACAATTTGTGACATCCTATATGATCATGGAGCCTTAGACAATCACTTCAAATTATAACACGCAAATAAATGAACTTAAATTCATAATGTGATTTTATAGAACATTACTCGAAGAATAGGCATCAAACTAACAATCTCTCACTTGCCCTTCTTAGAGTATGTGTGACATATCAAGAATACTCATCCCCTTAAGATGTCCATCAAAAACCTTAGCTGGTAAGGTCTTAGTGAACGGATCCGCAAGATTATCCACTGATGCAATCTTACTAACCGTCACGTCTCATTGATGAACAATTTCTCTAACAAGGTGATATTTTCTTTCGATGTGCTTGCCACACTGATGACTCATCGGTTCTTTAGCATTGGCAACCGCCCCACTATTATCGCAATAAAGCATTATGGGCCCCATTGCCAAACGTACCACGTCAAGGTCCAAAAGAAACTTCTTGAACCATACAACTTCACATGCCACTACGCATTCTGCCTCCATGGTGGAATCAGCAATACAAGATTGCTTGATACTCCTCCATACCACAGCTCCACCTCCCAGTGTAAATATTGATCCCGATGTAGACTTCCTAGAGTCACGATTGGATTTAAAATCGGAATCAGTATATCCAATAGGATTTAGATCATGTCTTGAGTAGACAAGTATATAATCTCTCGTTCTTCGAAGATACTTTGAGTATATGCTTTACTACTACCCAATGTTCTGGTCCTGGATTAGACTGATAACGACTAACAATACCCACATCATAACAAATATCCAGTCTAGTGCAAAGCATAGCATACATGAGACTTTCCACAACCGAAGCATAAGGAACATTTCTCATGTAATCTATCTCCGTTGCATTTTTGGGACAGTGCTTTTTAGATAGATGAATTCCATGTCTAAAAGGAAGTTTTCCCTTTCTGGAATTCTGCATTGCAAATCTGGACAATATTTTGTCAATATATGAAGCTTGGGATAATG